TAAAACTAAGCTTAGATTTATTTACAAAAGCTGAACAAATTCATGCATATATGACAGGCATATGTACATATATATGCATACAGAGACAAACACATACACACATATATGTATGTATTGTATATGGCTGTGTCTTAATTGCCTCATACTGTGAAAAGCTGCTGTGCAGTTTATCAAAAGGAAAAGCAAGCAAGAGCCATCTCAGTGTGTTTGTGTAACTAAATTTATACGAAATGTGTAACTCATTTTGTGCCTAATTGATAACTTCCGACCACGGCCTATATTTGCAGTTCCAGTTCTATATGCTAGTCAGCATTTGCGAAGATCGCGAACGACATCGGGTATAGCCGGGGCATATTCATGTGATAATGAATTCCAAGATTCACTGCCAGCCTAACTCGCTCTTTGTATTTCGTATTCGACTAAGCGAATCTCTGCTGCAGAAGAATGTGCCTTGTTTATATTACGTACACTCTGTGCGGGATTCGAATGAGAGAGTGTTTGAGCGAATGTCAAAGGCAAATACAATTTTTTTAAAATTTAAAACATAATTTTTAATCACTATTTAATTTTCAATTAACTTTTAATTTTGATTTTATTTTATATCCATTTAAACTATAATTTTAATTTTAGATTCTATTTTTCTTTATTTCCATTTTAATTCAACGTTCCATTTTAATTTAAATTTTCATTTTAAATTTCCATTTTAAATAAAATAAAAAAAAAAAATAAAATAAAATCAATTCTACTTAATTTACATTACATTTCTATTTTATATTTAAATGTATTTTCAGTTTAATATAAAATTTAATTTTTTGTTTCAATATTATTTGAATTTTAATTTTCATTTTTATTATTTCTAATTTTATTTTTCACTTAATTTCTTTCTTTTTTTCTTACATAATATTATATATTATTATTTTCTTCAGTTTCATTTTATTTAAAATGTTCATTTATTTATTTGATTTATATTATAATTTAATTTTATACTTTTCCATTTAAATACATGTTTATATTTTAGTTTCAATTTGTATTTTATTTTATTTGTCACTGTATTACATATATAAATTTCATTTTTATTTTAATTCAATTTATATTGTAGTTGACATCTCAATTTAACTAAATTTCCATTTCAATTTAAATGTTGAACTTCAATTTGAAATCAATTTAGATTTTAATCTGGTTTCTATTTATCTTCAAGCCAATTATTATGCGTGTAGGCTTTGCCCTTTCGAGCTCTGTGTATGATCGTGCCCAGCACGCATAAAATATATTATTATTTATTTAACAGCTTACATGTAAAATAATCTTAATACAGCTCTTAATGCATACTTGTCGACGCTTTCGCCGGCACATTAAATAAATCCATTAATGGATTAACTAATTGCAAATGAAGCCGGCGAGCGTCAGCTCGTGCCCTTCCATGTCCGCAGTTAAGCCCGACCACTGTTTGTCGTGCACTGCTCTGCATCTCTGTGCTCAGTTTCCGGCTTTGGCAGTGGCTTTGTAAATTGTGTCTGATTAAACAGCCAACTCGTTTATGGCCCTCACATCCTGTCGCATCCCAAATGCGCAGCTGGCACGAATGACGCCCAGCCGATACACGGCTCGTGCCTGTTGTGTGCTCGTGTCACATATTTGCGATAATCAAACAAATTGCTGATTCGATATTTTTGTCTAAGCCAACAAAGCTTGTTATATTGGCACTGCACATGAGTGTTTGTTCGACTGCTATTTCAATGGGACACTTTATTGGGCCATTTTTTGCAGCCATATTTCATATTTGTCTCTTTCTATGGGGTGTGGGATGGGAGGGCTGTGCTGCAACTGTATATATGTAGATATATGTGTGTATATATTTAACAAAGACTCTGAGCTGCCCTACTAACGCCTCAATTAATATTCTCACTTGAATCTGCAACATTTTGCAATTGGTTCTGATTGGATTCTGTATCATATTCCTGTTTCAAAAATCGAATGAGGCGGTTGGAACTACTCCTATTTGATACAAATTCTTATCCTTGTATTACAAATTGCAGGAAAAAGAGAAATAATTAGAGTAATTATTAAATTGGAATGATGGTAAGAAGAAGAACTTGAGAAGATCATCGATAGAGGCAAGACGTGCATATACGCTGGTGACTGAAAGTAGTTTAAGTAGTCACAGGGTTTTCAAGTTGTGTATTTCATCAGTATAGTCCCAAAAATGTATTTAATTTAACTACTAATCTATTCATTACATTAAACGTCTTTTATAAACACTATAATATGCAATAATAATATTTCTTGAGTAATCATAAATATTTTTTTCTTTTGGCTAATGAAATAGTTTTTGAAGAATATTTATTATACATCAAAATTATATAAAAAATATTAATATTTTAATTCTTATTAAACTTTGTGTTTTTTGTTATGCAAAATAAAATTCGAAATTTGTACGAATTCAAAACTTCAAACTATTATCAGATCACGAGAAAAACAAAGAACTCTCGCCCAGATAAATTCAGCTGCAATCTGTTTAAAGTTTATCTCTTTAATTATTTGTCTAACCTAACCTTATTTGTCTAACCTAATGGCAAGCAAGAATTAAAAAGTTAATCTGTATCAAATCTTTGCTGACATATTTAACATAATTATTTAATTATCATTGCTTCAGCTGTCATTTTACAGGTCTTATCAGCAAACTGGTAGGAACAGGTTAAAAACGAAAAACAGACACCTGCCGCCCAGCACAACATTGACAAGACGTTGATTGGACGTCACGTTTCGTTTAGCTCGAAATTCATCAGAGTCCGCTTCCCTCCTCTCTATAATTACTTTTTAATGGCATTGGCTCTTTATCATTTTATCTATATGCATATATTTGTTGCTGTATCTATATTCGGTATCTCTATATGCGTACTCACCTCCATACATGACAAAGAGCGTTATCTTGAGCATTATCAAATTGGGATTAATGCCGCGACGCTGGCAGAATTCACCGAAGTGCGACAATTCGATCCTTTCGGTGTGTGATGGCTCGGTGACCGTCTCCTCGCTGGCCATTTTGACCATTTTGCAGATACTTTCAGTTACTTTCCGATACACACACACACTGATGCACAGTTTTGCTGTTTGGCTGTTTGAAGTTCGTTTCAATCAAATGCAGCGACGCAGCGTCTTAGTTTCTCGGTCAGACGACACTGGGACACACAGACACAGACACAGACACAGGCACAGGCACACTCACACAGGCAGCGAGAGAGAGACTCACACCTACACACAGGTATACTAATACACGCACAACTTAATGACTGTCTGTGTGTGCGTATGCTTTGAGTGTTTGGATCTGTGGCAGAGTTTTCTTATGATTTTGATTAAATCCAATTGAAATTTGTGTTCATAAACGGCGCACAAAAGTCGAAATTGTTGTTGTTGTTGTTGCTTCGGTATTTTTTCCTTTTTGTATATTTGTATATATATATTTAAGTATATATTTCAACTTTGCTGTTTTCTTTTTAATTTGTTACATTTTGTTACACTGTAAAATATTTGTGCTGGTTTTATTTAAATTTAATTTTTTATTATTTTCAAGGTTTTTTAGTTTTATTTATCTGTTTACTCAATTTAAATCATTTAACTATTATTTTGCATTTTACAAGGTTTATTTCAGCTTGACTTCTGCACTCACTTCACACTTCATTTGCTTACATTGCGTATACTTGATATTTTAATATTTGTCAAACTTTTGCTTGAATTGGCCTTTTGATTCGGTTTGGCTTCGATTTGGATTTTGGGCTGCCGCGCTTCCACTTTCACAGTCGCCGTTCGCACCGAGACTGAGTGAACAAATATATAAGAATCTCTTATCGGATGGGCCATATAGATTTGTGCATTTGTATTATATCTTTTGCAATCTCCTGAGCTGAACTCGCGCTCGCCCGCTAATCTATGGAGAGCAATAGCAATAGCAATAGCAATAGCAGCAGCACCAGCAGCGTTGCTCACTTCCCCAGACGAGATGCTGCTGAGATTCTAACTTAAATTGGAGCAGTTACCGTATTAGTGACAGCTCATGAGACGACGACAGCGACGTTCCGCTGCTCTCAGCTGAGCTGTTTTTGTTGATGATGTGCAGACGACAGTCGAGATACCCCTAAGATAATGTCTATTCTGTGATAGTCTGTTTTTCTTTTGAATGACGGACGCGCAACAATGTCACGCTGAGTGACAACTCGACAGCGGAGAGAGATGGCGGTTAGGCCAAGGTTTGCGCGGAGGTGTGATAAAAGGCAAATCTTCCAACGGCTGCGAGATCAATTTTATCCCGAGTGGATCACTTGAGCTGAGACTGCTTGATCGGGCAATATTGAACGGCGGTTTTGATGGAGAGACTCTGAGTAGAATCGAAATTTATGAGCAGCTATCTAATATGTTCAGAATGAAAAGTTTTTGTATTTATTATTTGTTCTTTGAGTAAAGTATGTCTTGATTAAAGTTGTATTATTTTTAAAATGTATATATATTATTAATATATACATAAATATGAATAAGCCATAGCTATGGAAATTTATTTATAATCTTCTTTTTCTTCATCTAAACTACTACTGTGGTAAAATTTTTATTCATTTTTTAATTAATTATTATTTTTTTTATTAATTTTTGTTATAGTTTTTTGAATATTGATTTAAGTTTTCTTTAAAATTAATTGTACAGCTTTAATTTTTTTTTATGTTTTAATTAACTAAAAATTTACTTAAAAATGATTTTTGTTAAACTATTTACTATTTTTATATTTTAAAATTTGTTAAAAATTGATTTAATTTTTTACAAATTAATTTAATTTAAATTTAACATTGTTTAATATTTTAATTGGTTCTTTTATAGTTTTTTTTTTATTTTATTTTATTTTATTTTTTATTTTATATTTTATTAATTTATATTATTAATGGATTTTTGCATTTTATTTATTAAATTATATTTATTCGTTTACTTCAACTTCTATCACTTTAAACTAATTACTTATATTTTTCTTTCTACTCTTTCAGCGCTTCATCAGCCGTATTCATAGGCCATTTCACAGGCTAGCAAGGATTCCGATGGCTCCTTTTGACCGGGCGCTCGATTGCCAAAAAGTTTTGCACACGAAAATTGACGCTGAGCGGTAAAAGTTTTAGGCATTTCGTTAGGAAAAACTATTCACAATAAATGAAAAACGCGCAATGTGTTTTTCGGCCGAGCTAAATGAAATTGCGAACACAACTACGAGACGATGAAACTATTCGACGACTTTCGATGCAAATCACATGGAACGGGCCAACAACAAAACTTTACAATTAATTGATAAATTCTAAATCGCCTTGATTGATATTGCCAACAGGTGTTTATCAGTCTGATGATCGCCAAACGCCGCCTGGTAACGGTAAAAACATGTGCTCGCTCCCTATTACAGCACAAAGTTTTAAGGTCTTTAACTTGGTAAGGTCAATGGAAGAGGAAGAGTCCGCTGCAATTGGGAAAGTAAAGGGAAGTTCAGAGAAGACATACGAGAGTTGATCAACAAAATATTTTAGTAATATATTTTTGTTGTAATTGTGCTTGTACGAGGTGTGTTCAATGAGTTGATCAAGCTTTCATTTATTTCTGAAATTATTTATTTATTCATGAATAACTCTCAAAGTCACAAGGCTGAAAATATGTCAAATTTTAAGTAAATAAATAATTATAAAAGCATTGCATTTTTTTGAAGTGTTAAAAAAAAAAACTCTAATAAATTGCGCCCTTTTAGATCATAGGCGAGCCCAAAGCGCTTTATGGGTCACATATAACACTAAAGGTGTTTGTCACCGACGATAAAAAAAAAACAGTTATAACATTAAAGATAAGATTGTTAAGTTTAAATTGTAGCAAAAAAGTGTGTTTCAAAAATTTAATATTTATAAACAATATAAATTTAAATAATTTAAATAGTTAATAAAAATGCACATTTTTATAAACTATTATAAAAGTTATTCAATTTATATATATATATATATTGAATAATTAATAGCATAAAACTTTATCAGAATATACAAAAGCCTAAAGGAAAACAACTTTGATTACACGATGTATTTTTAGCGAGCTCTATAATATATATAATAATAATAATATCTATATAAAATATGATTTGTGAGCGTTAAGCAAGCGCATTGTAAGACATCTCATACGTAAGCAAATTTGAGTTGAGAATCGTTCTTATCACCGTGATTTTCCTTATCATTCACAGATAAAACGGCACTAGACGAGCGAGAAGATGCTGCAAAAGAGTAAGAGAGAGCGTGGTCGAGCGAGGAAAGACAGGCAAAGAGAGGATGAATATCCATTTCAGAAATATTACGCAAAAACTTTATACAGCGATATGAACCAGATAGACTTTGCTTTTGGGCTTAAAGAGCTCTTGACTTGTGTAAATGTATTCCTAGGTCTATGGGAAGAAGAGGGTAAAATTAATTTATATATGATTACAGCTTAAAGTATTACGAGCTTCTTTTCCACTTGAGATTTCAAATCTGACGTGTTGTATAAAATACATATTTTGCAATTATTGTGTTTCTTCCAATGTTTGATTGTAGATATATATATAAATATGTCTTAAGTGTTGAACTCCTCTATTTTTTTTTTTAAATTCATAAGTGCAATAAATTTTAATTTAATTAGTTTACTACCCAAAAAAGAACTATGTACTTAAATTTGCCAATATTTTGAATTTTGCGCCATGGGATTAACAGTCAACTTAACAGTATAGCGAAAGTGAGCAGCGTGCGTTAACAACGACGCCAAAATGTTAGTTAACAGAATCCATACGTTGATATATTTGTTAAGCGCCATCTATTGCTCAAATACACTAGTGTGGTATGGTTCTTACCTAAAGTAGTTTTCAAAGGTAGCCATATCGCTTAGCTTTTGATTTACATTGTGGAAACATAGTCAGTGCTTATAGCGATGAAAGTTTACATGGCAGCTGATTTTAGTTTTTAAATGAATATGGAAAAATAACTATTTCAATTAATATAACAAAATAATCTGTTAAAATTCATACTTGAATCTTCGATTTAAGTCATTTAATAGAAACTTGTATTGTCTTATTCCAAAATATACCAGCATCAGTAATTCCCTAAAAAATACCAGAATACGAAGTTGTTTTTTGTGGTATTTTTAAGATATAACTGCTAGGGCCATATTTGGTTTGTTGTTCGTAGTTGTTGTTGTTTCGACGCCGAAGAATCAGCACGTCGGAACGCGGCTGTTTTAAAGAAATTATTAATTACGAGAAAAAGTGTATGCAAAGGCGACAAAGCGCTAGATAAGAGGCCATTAAGCATTATCTAAGCGTGGACGGCAAACACAACCCCGCGATTAGATAGAAATAATATCAAAATAAATTCAAGTCTCAAGTCAAATGTGCTGCAGCAACAGAAGCCATCAATGTCGCCGCCGCCGCGTGCAAAATAAAAAGCAAAATAAATAAAATAAGAAATTTACAAAGAAAGAAAAAGAGTATGAAAGCAGAGTGCCAGGTGCCAGCGTCCGCATCGTTTGTTTGTCTCTCATGTCTGCGCTTCGTGTCGCGTGTTTGTGTGCGTGTCAGAGTGTTTGATAGTGGTCGCTGTGGTAGCTGTATGCGCCTGTTTCTGTGTGTGTGTGAGCTCTTGTAAGTGCACCTGCCAGCCTGCCTTGGAGAACTTGCAGCCCCCGCCCGCCGCTCGCCGGGCCTCCCCTCCGCCCCTCTCCAGCTGAGACTGCAACATCAACAAGAAATTTCGCTGACCAGCGCCGCGTGTGTTTGTATGAAAATGTCATTGTCAGTGGCGACGCTGACGCTGACGCCGCTGCTGAATAAAGATAAAAGATAGAGATAAAAATCAAATCAAATAAAAGTGAATCAAAACGTCTGCGTGTTTGTGCCTGTGTGTGTATAAGAGAGCAGAGAGCGCGCTTCATTAATCCGTCTAGCTGTTGTTACTGCTGTTAAAGCTGACGTCGACGTCGACGTCGCCGCTGCAGAAGAGCGTAGCAGCAGCATCGAACACACAGTTGCCATTCGATTTAACGTCCAAGCTCACATTCAAAATTCTGTGAAAGAAAACGGCAAACGAGGTGAGTGTACGAGCACCGTTAATTGGCGCATTTCTGACACAGTTTCCCTTAATCAATGGGGTTGAAAATTGAAAATTCCTATGGATGCTGCTCCAAGGCTGGCTCTATGTGTCGAAATTTCCGTCAAGCTGCTTTATGGGGGCGCCAGTCGGTTTGGGGGTGGTTTTTGTTGGGGCAGCGCTCAGCTGATATGTATGTATGTGTGTGACTTGGTGTGTGTGCTCACGCATACGCATCTTTAGCGAGTGTACTTGCGTATGCATAAATATGTGTGCATGTGTGCAGAAACACACACACACAAACGCACGCGCGAAGCTGTGTGACTTTGAATGCGGACTTTGTGCTTTGAAGGCCATTTGCGGCATTTATTTCTGCGCAAGCAACAACCGTTAGAAGAGGCTCGCAACCAGTAAAACAACATTTGGCCATTATAATGCATTAGAGCTTTAAGTCTTACGAAATCTTCCATAGAATCAATATGTTTGTTGTTGTTTCCTTAAATTCCTTACATTGCTGCAATGAACTTGACCCACAGGCAAACCTTCAACGGAGCACGAGACACGTCAGAGTCTGTCTAATTGGAATTGAATTATAATTTACAGCCTTTAAGCGCCTCTAAATTACTTGGCAAATACATGTGTGCATGTATGTGTGTGCATATATCATAGACTTAATAGCTCAGCTTTGTTCATTAATCACAATGACTATGATTTGACATCAGTAATTTTTTTGTTTGTTATTTTTGTAATGAGTTTCTAAAAATAGACGTATCGGCACATGTTTTCCTTATGCTCTTATACATAACTCTTATAAGAAACTGGCTGCTTGAAGCGCAGTATGAGAAAAGTTGAGAGCGGATGTATAATATTCTAATTGCTAAATGTGTAACAAAAAAAAAAAAAAAAATAATAATAATAAAAAAAAAAAAAAAATATATATATATATATATATATAGTAGCTTGTCCATTTTTCCTCTTCTCTATTTTCTACCACGATCAAATGTCCGCAGCTGGCCGCTTAGCGCGTAAATGCAGCTGAACGAGTGAGAGCGAAAGAGATAGCAAGCATGCGGCATATTGGCCATGACAGGTGGATTGTTCTGAGATTTTTCTGTTCTCTTCTTTATGCCTTTTACGTATATTTCTTTTTATTCTTCTATTTCGCTGCTGTGCACAGATTTCGTTTTCATTTACTCTCTTTTGTTTGTTTACATACCCTTGCAATGGGTCTATTAGTTTCTATACACAATATGTGTAATATGCAATGAATATTGATTGTATTGTATTTTGCTCTTATTTTAATGAATATTATAGATCAACACAAATACAGCTTATTAAATCACATTTTCTTGTTCTGCATAATGTCTGATAAGACAGCTCGTCCCTTAACAGGGTATTTATTGTTCGAGAACTTTGTAATGTATGAAGAGTAAATATGTTTGTAAACTGTAAATCTGAACAGGAATCCACAGTCGTTAAACATAGATATGTATGTATGTATTATATTTATTCATTTATGATAAGACTCTGATCACAATCTTGTAGAGTATTCAATGGTCAACAGCTCGTTCAAGTGTTTTCTTTCTTCATCTCTTACGTTCATTCTAGCTACCTGAATTGTTAGCTTGCTTTTTGCTCCACATGTTCATTCGCACCTATTTACTGACAAATACGTAGACGTTTCGAGTCCACTGTTACCTGTCACAACACCTGTAAATTCCCGTGTTCCTTGAAATGCTCTTTTAAAATATTTCATATACATAAATATTTGAGAATTAAGTAAGATCGTCATAGCTTTTGCATTTGATCTGCTAACATTTGCTGAGATCGGCTGACGTCTGCTTAGCTCTGCTTCGGCTCGCCTCTATATGTAGTTGGTTCTTTCAAGTGACAACTCATTTCATACTTATTTAACGCTCGTATGAAACTCAAAAATAGACAAAGCAACTCTGAAAACAGTCAAGTCACAGCTGAGGCCAGCTTAAAGACTAAAAATGACAATTAAACGAAAAATATATGTGATGATTAGTTCGAGTAATTCCCACGATTCTGAATGAGAAGAAACTGACAATAGAAAGTGGGTCTAGCCTCTACACTTGGTTAGGGAGCAAGAGCATTGCTTTCTTTATATAAACTATATGTCTGAAAGTAAAGGAGAAAAACAAATAGGAGACAAGGTAAATCGGATTATCTATATCTATACAGCTAGAACTAAAAAAATTGAAGAGCTTACCCTGACGCCCGACTGGAACATTCTGATTTGTTTTCTTTTCCGATTTTTGCATAAGTTCAACGTTGAATCATAGTTCACTCTTAATCTGAGATTGAATGCTCTGCATAATCAAAGCGCAAGGTCAAAGCTCTTACATTTGATTCAATTTGGTGCAGAATGGAAGGGAGGTGCCCAATAGCCTTTAGATTATGCATTTGTCTATACTAAATGGATTCAAATTGTATCAAATTTAAGGTTTCTTTCTAGCACGTGCACGTGCCACGTATGTATGTATGTAGTATATTTCAATGCATTGCAGCTCAAGCTTTTATAGACTCTCAATAATGCAAGAAGGCAGAGACGAACATCAACAAATAGTTCACAAGTTGCAAGCGAAAGAGTTTGAGTCAGACAGACAAAAAGGAAGCAAAAGGCAAAAGGCAAATGGCAAAACGAAATTCCAATCCAATTCAGTTTCAAAATAAACTATGTGAGTTGTGGCTATACCAAGGGAACTCTCCCGACTTAAAGCTAAAAGCATTGCACATTTTCTCTCCCAAGGGCAACTCTCTCTTATTCTCTCGCTCCCTGTGTACTCCTCTCTCTCTCCCTTTCTGTTGTTTTATAAATTTGCAATGTGCGCTGCACAGCCATAAACAAGCTGCTGCCTGAGCTGTGTCTGCAACAAGGTGCAACAGCATTCCTAAAAGGTTCCACACTTTATTCTGCTCTCTCTCTCTCTTTCTGTCTATCTCTCTCTCGCTCTCTCTCTTTCTCTGTTCGCTACCTTCTGAATGAAAGCTTGTGTGTGCTGTGGCTTTTTACTGCTTCCACTGCATCGCACATTGTCTGCCTTTTACTGTCGCTGCTGTTGCTTCCGAGCCATCTTCTTGTCTGACACTAAACTGCATGACTAAGCGAGGGTTGCCTTCAATGTTTGAATGTTTTGTGTATACATACATCTGTAATAGACTTGAACTCAATTTGCTAATACTAGATGAATATAATATATTAAGAATTTAATTAATTTAAAATTATATTTAAAAAAAAATAATAATAATAATAAAAAACTTTAATAAGCTGAGCTTTTATGAAACCCAAAATATTTATTCTTATAATTTTTGCAATAAATCAAAGTATGCTCAAACTGCTAGATTTTCTAATTTACCCAATTTTCTTTTAATTTCTGTGGCTGAGTAAACGTTTTTTATTGCCATTTTATAATGAAAATGTCCACCTTGACCCGTTTCAGCACTTTTTTTTTGCTCAGTGTAAACATACAGATGAGCACA